CTGAAAACTGGGTCTGGTCAATCAAGCCTCGAAGTTATGCAGACCACGATTTAAACATGTCTCTGAATTCTTGAGAAATCGGGTATTGCAGAATTGTTGTGTTAAATAATTTCACTGTCACACATCTATTTTAAGAACATCAGTTCATTGAAATACTTGTGCTCAAAGACTAATAGAACCACAATAGGCTTTATCCATTGTTCTAAAAGAGCAGCCTGGGCAATAATAAACATATCTTAAATTGTAGAGTGACACACTAAGCTTTCATATAATAAATTATGTGTGCCATCATATCATGTCATATCCTCATACTCGTAGACTAGTTCTGAAATGCATGACAGCTTCTTTATTCCTGATCCTAGAACATACTTTTCCAAACTGACTCAATATGACCATCTATACTTCCATCCCTTTTTTAATGACAGAAAAACACAAAGCAACTACTTCAGAATATAAAATATATTTATTCAATGACACCATTTAAGGAACATATAAAATTCAAAATGCCTTAATGCTATAAATGTGTATGTGAGTGTGGTCTACTTGGAACATGTGAAGTATCAAATGACTGAACAAACGATATTCAGACTCTCATGATAACCCAAATGTACAGAATAATTGATTTTTACTGCTATACGTTCTCATAAATAAATAATTTACCTAAGTGTGCCCAATAGCATATACATGTATTTCACATGAAAACTAATGTAGCTAATCCAAGGGGACAATGTACTGAACAAGTAGGGTGAGAAGTAACAAGTAACTGCCGTATCTACTCATAAATCTACTTGTGAAACTTCTGTGGAAATGTGCCCTCAGCTCTAAGCAGTCATTCCCCTTCCTGTTACACAGTAGCATAGTACGATCTCATCAATTCCATCAAATTTATGACATTAAAATGACAAGGGCTGAATTAAACTTTGCTAAAGTGAACGAAGATGTCACATTTAAGAAAATAGCCTCTCTTCCTCCTTTGGTTTGTGACCAATATAGGATAGAATATTTTGAATTTTTATTAGGAAGTCAGCTAAAAATGTACAGATTTATGTGGAAAAGTTGAACTGGAAACAGAATGGAAGGATCAGTTTAACAATGAATGGTTTTCTTTGTTCTTCTTTCATAAATGTGCAAGCACTGGAAGTATACAGAGGAAGATGTCCCTCGTGTTGCTTCCACACATATTACATATTTTGAATGTGTTTATGTTAGTTATATCTGTTAATAAGAAAGTAATTAGCAAATTAATTCGCAACGAAGAAACTGAAAACGATTCTAATAGATAAATGTATGTACTGATGCATCATAGGATTGCGACCCCTCAATTCTCCAGTCCAGAAACATTCTCAAGCATAACCAGTGTGGTTCTAGCACCCCTTGTTCTTTGCCAGTTTACTCCATAACGCATTAACTCAAATCATCTATGTTCTAGAAAATGCTATTTTAAGACTGGAGAAAAGTTAATTTATCTATACAGATCAATAAACTTTTTCCGTCATAAAACACTAAAAGTATTAAACAGTCATAATCAAATTACATCTTTAATGAGTTAATACAAACCATAATTCATATTTGCAGCCTATTACAAAGTAACATATATATTCATGTATTTATTTACACCCAAATCCAAACTTAAAGTAAGGAAGATATCAAAGGTCAGTATATTCAGAGGGTGCATTATTCAATACTGTTTAAACAAAAACCAAATAGCCTAAGTAAATCCTTAAAAGATGTAACTGTGAATAACATAGTTCAAAGTAAGAAGACTTTTGACATTTAATATATTGCTTCACTCCTCTTAAAGGCAGTTATAATGATAAAGATGTTGAAATTACTATACAGGCTTGTATTAAAAGTCCTTATTCAAAGAAAACAAGAGTTCCACAATGATGGATGTGGTTAGTACATGCTAGAAAGAATCCCCCTTGTGTTTAAAGCTTTACTTAAGGAAAGTCCTGTTTTTCTTGATTTTTCATCTAAAAAACACATATTCTGGCACTAATAGGAATTAGTGATGTAACACTTGACCTTTAAACTTCTGGTACATTAATATAAACACTACAAATAGAGTTACTGAGTGGCAAGTTTGCACTTTTAGGCCTTTGATACTTTAAGTTACTTGATAATTGATATTGCCACTAATTTTAATATTATTATTAAGACCATTCTTAGGATTATTTTATATTAAAAATAAATTTATTTCATATAAATAAATAAATTTAAATTAAAAAACAAATATTGAGCTTGATTAGTGATACCTTGTAATTCAGTAAATTGTTCTGTTGACCCCTGGCTTCATGCATTTTGATGGGAGGGGATTTGTATTTGAAGACTAGAATTACCTTTGCCTTCTAATGAACTAAAGAATAACGTCAACTGTGAATCTGAGTATCTAAAATAAAAATGTAAAATAAAAAGTTGTGCCATTAATTTTGATGAAATATATTGACTCTGTAAATATGACTCACAGACTCAGTCCTTGAGCTGTCTGTATTGGTCTATCAACATAGTAAATATCAGCTGTGTCAAGAAAATAATTGACACCATTTAACAAATTTTATTACTGAGAGAAATGTCTTGAGTATGTGCTAAATGTGAGATTAGTTTAGAGATGGAAAGTGTAAACGATTTGAAAACAATATACACCTTAGAGACTGTCAGAATTACTCTAAACAACTTACTTTCAGTATAAAGCAAAAGTTTAGATCAGATTTCTGTTGCATGTGACAAGGGATTGTTCATTAAAAACAACAACAGCAACCTGTATGTAATTGGTTAGAAACATTAGTAAGACAGGAGTTTCTAGTTTCTTTTAAAAGTGTAAATGTCAAAAGCTCCCTATAACACCACAAAACTCAAGCATAGCCATAGATATAAATGGATAAGGTGCGTGCACACAGTGTAAACAAGGATGCACCAATGCAATAACACTGGAAAGAGATTCAGCCCACATGTTAGAAGCGCTTCTTGGAAGCAAGGAGTGAAAGAAACATCTCCTGAAAGCAGAAGGTGGGACCAGCTATTTCAATGCTGCTTAGTATTTATTAGATTGGTCAATAGAAAACAAAATGCCAAAATGTCATCAAAAAGGAAGCACTCTATTAAACACTGTAGGGAAAATATATTAATGCTCATTACAAGTGAGCCTTATGCTGGAACATATAGATTGCAGCTCCCAAGATAAGTGTTTGCAGCCTCTGAAAATAGTATGTCATCCCTACCACTGCTTTCCAAACTTCTAAAACAAACTTAACACAAAGAATGTAAATAAGGGCTTAGTTAGATCCTCTGTGGCTGTGCTTTCCAAAGAGTTCATCTCCATTACTAGCATCCAAAAATTAGTGATGTTTGTATATATTCTGTGGTAATCTTGGTTTCTAGCAAAGACAACAACACTGTTACTAAAAAAGCGTGTGCTCTCAGTTCACATTAGAAATTATGAGGGTCCACACAAACTGAAACTCATGTTTCAGATGCTATAAATCATATACCACACCCATAGCATCAAAATTAAAATATATTGCCCGATTCAAGCAGAAATATACCCTATTCTCTTTCACCTTAGACATGCCATATATACTGATGTTGTGCAATCCACACTTATAAGTCAACTTCCACCCAGTGGAGAGAAAGAAGATCTTTCAGGGAGATTGGAGGTACACTTCAGATAAGGAGTTCCAGGGGAAGAAGGGACAGCGGTGAAAAAAGGAAGGAATGAGAGCATCTAGTCTTGTGGAGCTCTAAACAAGGCTGAACCTCAGTTTGTATTTTCACTGAAGAGGAAATGTTTCCAGAAGCTCACGCCAGTGTTGCTTAAGGGTGAAATCGGGTTATAGATGTTCATTAGTGACAAGCCATTTCCATGCTCCAGCTTAAGTCAAAGACCGGAGAGTGATAAAAAGGTGTAAAACTGAAAATGGAAGGAGGGAAGACAGTGGGAAGGGAGGGGAGGAAGAGACAGTGTATGTACACATGTGTGACAGAGTGACAGTGTGGACCAGTGAAAGAGTGGGTGCCTTTTTAAACAGTGAAAGGGGATTTGAATGTGAAAGTGGATGAGCATGTAAGTGCTAATGTGTGTGAGGAGGATGTGAGTGTGTGAGGATGTGAGTGTGTGAGGGAGTGTATTTACCAAAGAGAGATCTGTGAGGGTGAGGAAATGATACTGGAGGGGGGAAGAGGGAACATGCATATGTGTGTGTGACAGGGATGTGAAGGGGGGAGCGGTGAGGAGAAGGGTGGTAAATGGAGAGTGGGGGGGACAAAAAAAACAGAATAGGGACATTAATGAGGGGAAGGAATGAAGAATGTAATGTAGAAAAAGGAAGCGTGAAGGCTGATAGAAAAGGGTGTTAAGAGGGTCAGAATTTAGAGTGGTGGTGATAAAAGGGAGGGGAAAGTGAGGAAAAATAAAAAATAATGGAGGGAGGAAAGAACAGTGAGAAACTAGAAAAGGGGCAATGGAAGGGATGGATAACGTGGAGAATTTTTTTTAAAGGAGGGAGAAAAGTAAGAAGGGGGAGTGGAGGCACAGCAATGCTGGAGAGCACGAAATTGAATCCAAATGTTCGAGTGAGATGGGAAATAATGAGAACAGGGACCTAGCAGTTCGAAAAAGTCGCTAATGCGAGAGTAAAATAGCAACGAACCTGATAAACTTGTCAGGCACCCCAAGAGTAGCCCATGGCAGTAAAAGAGAGACCTTGTGCATGGAGTTTCAAAGTGGCACCTGCCCCTCCTCCTAAACCTCACACTTCACTCATCCTGGGGCTACTTGGCGTCCGCAAAGTGCTTTCGCAGCAGGAGTCCAGCCCGCTGCCTGCCCCGGCATAAAGGGACCAGGGTTCTGGAAAGAGTCCACACCTGGGTTTGTTTCTATCGTGGTCTTTGGACGGTGTTCACCACCAGCAGCATAGCTCAGAATGCAAAGGAGGCAAGGAGGGTGAAAAGAGAGACAGAAAGATAGACTAGGACAAGTACGAAAAGCACGCCGTCTTTCCTACCTAAGCACCGCCGTGTCCCCTTTTCTGACCATCATGTTGTCCACGGCCGCCCAGGGGAAGTCCACACTCTGTCCAGCCGGGAGGCAGGAGGGCAGCAGGCAGCACAGGCTGAGGAGCACCGCGGCCAGCCACTGGTTCGAGCAACAAGCACCCTGCACCAACAGCATCATGTCCATCCCTGCTAGGGCTGCTCACTCTCCGGCAGCTTTCAGCTCCAACTCCCCACCCCCTGGTGCTGGCGAGTCTGCCCAGGAACCAGGCGGAGGGCGCGCCACTGGATTTTTTTTTTTTTTTTT